TGTGTTGCCCTAACAGTCCCCTGAGAAGAAGCATAAGGTAAGTTTCATTGATGTGCATGCAGATGACTGGCTGAGATAAGACAGATAGGTCAGGAAGGGGTAGCAGGGCTCCAGGTGCATATCTTGTTGCCTGAACTGAAAGCCATGGTGTATGAGAAGTTCAAAGCCTGGCTGGGTGTTAAACTTTGCACTCTTCATATTTCCCTGGATATGTTTATGATGCAAACCAACAAATGGACCAATCTCAACAAGCATTGTGCTAATGGGCAACCACCCTTCCTGGACAGGGTTCAGCAGGCAGCTGGTAAAGGCTTCAAGGTGCCCAAAGGCCCCTACTACTTTTGTATTCCAATGGACCTGATGGAGCAGAATGGGAACAATGAGCACCACAGGGTGTATGAGAGTGGGTCCCATCAAGCTCTGACAAGCATGAATGACCCACTTGCATGGAACAATGGGATAAAGCCCCTTACAATGGTGGACCTTACACTTGAGGAGGAAGACCTCCCTGATGATCTGCTTGATCCAAACTGGGGCAATGGATGGCTTACCCTAGTTTCCAACAGGGGGAGCAAACATGCTCAACCAGTGTGTTATTTATTATCCACATGGCCTGTGTGTAGTATTCTGATGTGAGATCTGCAGCCCTCCAGTCCAGATACACCAATCAGCACACAGAGACCTTCCAAATGTCCAGCAATGGCCTTGCCAGCTCACCAAGCCATATTGGCATTGTTGAATGCTCAAACAGAGACCAAGTATAATGATGAAAGTGAATTACCCCCAGAGAAACCCTCAGGACATCAACTGACATGGGAACCTACAGGTACCATTCCTTTGGATGCAATAGTTTGGATGTGTCCAGTCAAGAAGGACACTTGGACAGAACTTTGCACAGATTTCATGAAACATGATTTCAATGAATGGGAAACCATTTGCTCCCTGACCAGTGATTGGAAGTCAATTGGAGAAGGCAATTTCAAGACTGTGCATCTTGTGTGGCTTGAGCAGGTGGCAGGGCTGACTGATTCCAACACATCTCCTTCTTTGCTCAATGCCAAAGTCATCATCAAGAAACTCAACATAAGCATTAAGGGCAACTCCAAACGCATAAAATGGCCACTCCAAGATGAGTACAAAAAGGCAAAGCTGGATGCGGTTTGCTTGGTCTATGCAAGTGCTATGCTTGAACAAGCATACACATGGATTCTCAAAGAGTCACGTCATGCACAACTCCCCTTCCACCTTCCAAGGTTCTGGTTTGTTGATCAGGCTCTGGTTCTGCTTGAGGAGGGGCACCATCCAGGGCATGTTTGCCTTATGGAGGAGAGGATCCCAGGGGAATTCATGAAGTATATTTTCAATGCCAACACTGAGCCCAATGGAGAGTTGTTGAGAGTCAATGCCAAGAACACTCGCTTTTTGACATTCCTGCAGCATGTTGTATTTGAGATGGTGAGCGATGGAACTGTTGTACTTGGAGACTTCCAAGATGAATGAGGGACTGTCATTCCAGGTGCTGCATATCATTGCCATAACAGGGTCTGGCATGCTTCTCACCAATCCCATCTTATTTACCCCACTGTATGTGTGAGCAGGTCAATGCATGACATTAACTAACTTACTGTAGTACTGCACCTGGCCAAGAATGGCCATTCGGCACAGGCAACTACCCAGGAGGATTCAAGGAGTGGGTGAAAGACCACAAATGTGACATCGAATGCATTTTTTTTCAACTGAATTTGAAGATGGTGCTCAGGGAGACCAGAGGGGTGGGCAACAAGGCTGCAATGGTGCATTCCACAGAGGTAGAACAAGCAGAAACCTAGTGCTGCATCAAAGAATTCCTGTTGTTTCAAATGCAAATGTGTATGACATATTCCAATTCGATTGTGTTTTAATATGGTGCCAGGGAGTTCTTGGCAGCAGCCACCCTGGATTTCTTCTTCTTTATCTCCATCTCTTTTCTTGTCTTCCAACAACATTTATTTCTAAGGGCCAGGTCATCTTAATCATGAACTACATTGTGCATTGAAATAAGAGCAGGAAAATAGGTTGAGTTCCTTGGTTCATGTGATCAATGTTGGGTACATGGAGGCCAAAAAAAAGCAGTCCGGAAGGTCAGATAATTTCCATATTGAGAACAACTCCCAATGCAAGGCCAGTGACGGGGTCCTACTTTGCATGCTGTGCAAAAGACCCTTAGTTTGGCTCCGGCCGACCGGCACGGATGCTAAAAAGAAAATTCCGCACTTAAGCGAACTAGGCCCTTCCGGCTTTCCATACTGTAGAGGTGGGAGAAGGTGAGGGAAACACGTGCTCGAAGAAGACGGAAGATGTTACATTCAAAGGATTGATATTGTTAAAAGTCTAGACAACGAACTATGTAGAAGGACAGTATATCGTACGCGTATTCATAGCTCCACGCTTGTAGCATGTGTGTGGCTGGCGGGGAAGGCGCAGAGTGAACATGCTGTTCCTCACTGATAAGCCATGTACGATACTTTCGATATCCTCAACGGGGTATGATATTCCCAAAAATATCGCACGATGCGACTGTCATCATGGAGAGAGAGATGCACCGGTACGGCGACGTCCCTGTGTCTTGGCAGAGAGGATAAAAATAGCATTCCAGTCGTCGTCAGTGGTGAGAGAGTTAGACATTCCAAGTCATGACAGGAATTGTAGTCATTCCAAGTCATTCCAAGCCACTGTAATCATATATTGATCGCTGGTCCCGGGTTAATAACGAGGCCAAAATGGGGAAGCATCCACCGGGTCAACCAATCAGAGAGCGCGTGTTTCGGTCAGGGGATCGGTGTCCATTTCATGAGAACGGGGGCCGTGAACACGTCATTACTCGATTGTCTCTCACTGTATATCGATCGAGAATGAGCGCGCGTGCTGCTGTCTATCTGTGCCCTGTTCACTCAAGGGCCAAAAACCCACGAATTTCTTACCGTGGATCTCTGCCCTGTCGGCATAATTCGTAAGCGAACGCATACGCGTATTTCATCGTGCCACGCACCGATACCTTTCTCAGATCTCCCACATATTCAACATGGACATCTACAGCGCAGCACTTGCTCATGATATATACACCGAGCGTTTCCTTGTTTGATACTGTGGTTGCTCTCTGCTATCTAGTCACCGTCAGCTTCTCTCTCTGCACCTTTGAGGGTAAGAGCGATGGACAGTCCCTCGAATGAGAAATCGCCAGTGCCCCCAGACCCGGACACAAGCTCACCAGCGCCCAAGAAGAAACGGCGCAACTTCCTGTATCGCTTGTATAGACCTGACCCTGCCCCGCCCGCTTTTGGAAAAGGCACCATCGTCCCTGATATACGATCGAAGTACGCTCTCCTACTACTGTGTTCTGTGTGTTGTGCTGACGTAAGTGCAGCATACTATCTAGGGTAACGGTGCAATGGTTGACTCCCCTGCTGGCTGTGGGATATACGAGGCCTATTGAGGAAGATGGTAAGTCCCTCCCTCTCCCTACAGAGTACTTCGTTGACCCCTCATAGACCTTTGGGAACTTGACGACGCTCGTCTCGCACACACCGTCGCCGACAAGCTCGAGCAAAACTTCTACTCCCGCTGTCCGCCCGAAAAGCGCCCTGCCTTCTTGCGTGCTAAGGCTGCTGCTGCGGGAGAAGGGGAGGAAGGGAAGATCACCCCCACCAGTACGAGCACGGCTGCTCGCCCGTCGGGGGAGCATGATCTCGAGAAAGGCGGTGCCTCTGAGCAGCCCCCGCACAAGTCTTCCCTCGGCAGGAAGGGGAAGTCCAAGCCCCGAGCAAAAAAGGAGATCACCGACTCCTCCCTTATCCTCGCTCTCAACCGTACGTTCTTCTGGCGCTTTTGGCCCGCAGGCATCCTCAAGCTTGTCGGGGATACGCTCAACACTACCACTCCGCTGGTGAGCAAGGCACTTATCACGTACATCACTCAGGCGTATGTGTACTACCGCGATCCGGAAGCGCCGCCCCCTCCTAGCGTGGGCTATGGTGTGGGATTGGCAGTTGCGTTGTTCGTGATGCAGGAGGCGAGCAGTATATGCCAGAACAACTATATGCAGTGGAGCATGCAGACTGGGTTCTTGATTCGCACATCCGTACGTCCTCCCCTCACCCCCCAATGACCACCACTAACCTCCCGGCAGGTCATCTCCAACATCTTCCGCAAATCGCTCCGGCTGTCTGGCAAAGCCCGCCTCACGCACAGCACCGGCCAAATAACGACCATGATCTCCGCGGACGCAACGCGCATGGACATGGCCTCCGGGTTCGCGCACAACCTGTGGGTCTCCCCGATTCAGATCCTCGTCGGTATCGGCCTGCTTATTGCCAACCTTGGGTACTCGGCGCTCGTCGGTCTTGGAGTGTTGATCATTGGTTTCCCACTGCAGGGGTATCTGGTGAAGATGATCTTTGGTGCTAGGAGGAGGGCGGTCATGCTCACAGACCAGAGGGTGCGGCTAATGCAAGAAGTGAGTCTCTCCTCGCTCATCACCTGACTCCACTCTTACATCTGTTGTGCGCGGTAGATCCTCGCAGGTATCCGCGTCATCAAGCTCTTCGTGTGGGAGGCGTTTTATGGTCGCAAGATAGACGATATCAGGGAGAAGGAACTAAGGAATATCCGGATTATGGCACTGTCCCGCGCTTTTATGTCTTCGGTCGTAGCGTTCATCCCGATCGCTGCCTCCATTCTGTCTTTCGTGAGTCGACACTCTTCATTCCCATTCAGAAAGTGCTGAGCAAGCCTCCAGATCACCTATGCCCTCTCCCATCACGCCCTAGAACCCGCGATCATCTTCTCCTCCCTCCAATACTTCAACATCATCCGCGCTCCTCTCATCTTCCTCCCGCTCGTCTTCACCGTCTGTACAGACGCATACATCGCCCTCGGCCGAATCGGTAAGATGCTCACAGCGGAGGAACTCGAGGAACCCTATTCCGTGGATCTGGATGCGGAGCTGGCAGTGGATGCGGAGGGGGAGTTCGTCTGGGAGAGCGTGGAGAAGCCGGATGATAAGTCCACGGGGGCGGGAAAGGGAGGAAGGGGTGGGAGAGGAGGTGCCATGGGCAGGGGTGGGGGGCACGCAGGTGCCAAAACGGGAATGAGCAGGGAAGAGGCAAAGAAGAAGAAAGCGGAGGAGGCGAAGAAGAAGGCTGAAGAGAAAGCGCGCAAGAAGGAGAATAAGGAGAGGAAAAAGAAGGGCTTGCCCCCGCTTGAGGAGGAGAAGGAGGAGAACCCGAATGGGAGGAAACCGTTTGCTCTCAAGGATATCAAGTTGAAGGTCCCGAGAGGGAGCTTCATCGCTATTGTGGGTAAGGTTGGGAGCGGCAAGTCGTCTTTGCTCCAGGCGCTTATCGGAGGTGAGCTCGTATTGTTCTGGTGCTTGGAGCTGGCGTTGATCGTTGCTCATCTCAGAGATGCGCCGTACTCGCGGTCATGTCGTCTATGGCGGTTCGACAGCCTACGTCCCCCAAGCAGCGTGGATCATCAACGCCACCCTGCGAGACAACGTCACGTTTGGCAAACCCGACGATGCGGAAAAGTTTGACGCCGTATGTCATGCCTGTGCGCTCACGGCAGATCTTGACATGCTCCCGAATGGGGAGATGACCGAGATCGGCGAGAAGGGGATCAACCTCAGTGGTGGACAGAAGGCGCGAGTGTCCCTCGCCAGGGCAACGTACTCCGACGCGGACATCGTCTTACTTGACGATCCGCTCAGCGCGGTGGACGCGCATGTGGCGAACCATATTCTTGATAACTGTTTGCTGAGAGGACCGCTGGCGAACAAGACGCGGATTTTGGTCACCCATGCCTTGTATGTATTGCCCCATGTGGATCATATCCTTCATGTAGAAGAAGGGCGGATCACGGAATCTGGCACTCATGAGGTCAGATAAAGTTGAAGGGTGGTTCTGATGTTAGCTAACATGTTACCCTAGGAATTGTTGAGCAACGGGAAAGGCTTTGCTGAACTTATGGAGGAGTTTGGTAGCCAGCAGCAGCAAACAAAGGTCGAAGAGGAAGAGGAGAAGAAAGCTGCCAAACCCGGAGAAACGAAGGCCAACACCAAAGGCCCCAAGCTGATGCAGGAAGAAGACCGGGAAACGGGGCAAGTTTCCACAAAGGTTTACACCGAGTGGCTCCAAGCCGCCGGATCTATCCTCTGGGCTCCTGGCATTCTGGCCATCATTGCCCTTGGTCAAGCCGCATCCGTTGGAAATAACTTGTTCCTCGGGTTTTGGACGAATAACAGCTTCGCTAACTTTAGCCAGTCGGGATACATGGGCCTATACGCTGGGCTTGGTGCTGCTCAGGCGTTGTTCGCGTTCCTCGGGGCCTTTGGTTTCAGGTACGGTCGCGTGCCGCTGTGAAGATGGAGTGAACTGATTCGGTTTAGTTTGGCATCTATTGCAGCTGGAAGGAAGCTGTACGCGACAGCTCTCATGAGAGTGTTCAGGGCACCTGTGTGGTTCTACGACACTACTCCTCTGGGACGGATAGTAAATCGGCTTGCGAAAGATGTAGACGTCATGGACAATCAGCTGGCTCAGTCATTCTATCAGGTTCGTTACCGATAACCTAGGGTATGCGCACTTATTTACACGATTCTTCAGCTCTTAAGTACCGCCGCATCCGTTGTTGGCACTGTCTTCCTCGTGTTCTACACCTATGCGTACCTCGGAATCATCTTCGTCCCTCTGCTGTTCTTGTACTGGGCCGCATCTACCTTCTATCGCCGAACATCGGTCGAAGTGAAGCGCATGGACTCTATTCTGCGTTCCAACCTGTACGCCTCCTATTCTGGTATGTTATATTCACAATGTGTGCGTTCGTATGCTGATGTTCCTCAGAAACGCTGACAGGACTAGCCACTGTTCGCGCATATCGAGAACAGGTATTGCCAGTGTCTTACGCAATACAACGATCGTACTGACATGCTCTTCCAGCAACGATTCGTGACGACAACCGAACACGCGATAGACGTAGAAAACAGGGCCTACTTTATGACCATTACCTTGCAGAGGTATGCAGCATATTCTGAAACCCCTATGAATCGTAAGCTGATTCTCGATTGAGGTGGCTCGGTATGCGACTTGACTTCCTTGGAAACTGCCTCATCCTCGGAATTGGCCTGTTTTCTGTCGGATTCCGTAACACCGTCGACCCATCGAAGGCTGGTGTTGTGCTTTCCTACACTCTGTCCAGTATGTCATCGTAT